AGTTTCCTGGTTCCTTCGTGTTTTTGGATTCTCCTCGTGGCCTGACCTGGATCCCTCGGCCTGTCAGGTATCCCTCGTGCCTCTTTGCCTCCAGTTGCCAGCCTTCCTCGTTTCCCCTTGGACCCTTGTTAGATTTCCCTCTGCTGCTCTCTCCCTGGTCTGAAGGACCAGCTCACCTCCTTCGGGTTTGGACTGTAAGGACAAGACGCTCTTTAAACAAACCACTCTGGTCTTCCCCGTTGGACAAACATTAACCTGTCGTCCTTCTTTCCAGGAGCCGCTGAGAAGCAGCGTGTGGACTTTAATATCACTGTACATAATAAACACTGTTCTTTTTGTACTTCCCCTGTCTGCCTCGTTCTGGGTCTCATAACATCTGGGTTCCCCGCACACTCTTAACAAAACCAGAGTTATCCCATTTATGTTTTAGATGTGGCATTGAAGAGGGTTAATTTCTGCACAGCACATGGAAGTGCATAAAGGTAAACACATTCTGGCATGACTTTTCTGATATTATGTCAAAACTGCTAGGATTTTCATTAACATTTGATCCACAAAGGGGCTAATTAGGAGACTTTACAAATCTGGGTACACAATTAAATGCAAATCAACAGAAGTTCCTGGAATTGGCTCTATGTGTTGCCAGAAAATGTATAGTTATTACGTGTAAGTCTGACTCCCAACTCCTTTTCAAGGTGGTTCTTAAAGATGAACAACTGTGCTCCACTCGAAAAGATCACCTACTCCCTTAGAAGTGATTATAAAACTTGTTAAAATCTGGCAGCCTTATCTGACATATGTGGGCACCATGCCAGTGCCTCTATTAGATTCTGCATAGTCATGTCATGTTAACAGGTTGCCACATTTCACTATCTGTCAGTCCAGTCGCTTTTGTACAGTTTTGCTTTCCTGATTTTTATTTTTTCTCCACTTTGGGGTGGGTCGAGTAGGGATATTGACATGTTGTTCTCTTTTTTTAATGTTATATTAATGTTTTACACATTTAAAAACGCTTAAATAAAGTATTGAAAATAAAAACCCTACTGTTAAGGTGTGAGGTGTGATTTGTCAATCTACATATGTACAGGTCCTTCTAAAAAAATTAGCATATTGTGATAAAGTTCATTATTTTCCATAATGTAATGATAAAAATGAAACTTTCATATTTTTCAGATTCATTGCACACCAACTGAAATATTTCAGGTCTTCAATTGTTTTAATACTGATGATTATGAGCTGGGGGGCGGGGGGGGGGCTGTTGGGTCAGTGGGGGAGCTGACTCCCTGTGGGAGCATTTACTCTCACAGTTATTTCTCCCCATCCCTCACCATGCACCTCCACCCTCTTCATTTCAATTTCATACATTTAGGGTTGTTTGGGCTCGGGTGTGCTGCAACAATTTTACATCTTTGTTGACCATAGCCACCTGGGACTCAATTTTATTGTACACCTTAGACATTCATTCATAACATCCTCATGACATTCACATATAGCAACTTGAGGTGGGCACATGGCTATGGGTGGTGGGATGACCTTACTCTCACCCCCTGTGCCTGTGCTCACTTACAACGGTTGCATTTAGACACTAGGGTTTGGATAGAGTTGGGGTGGAGGGGAAACTGGCATCATGCCAGCCTTTGCTCCTTCTTCTTTCCTTTTTAATGGCACTATACAACAACACATATCAACAGCACATCTAGGGGCGGGGGTGTATGTGTCGGGGTCTTATTTTATTTTATTATTATTATTTTTTCCTACCCCCCTAGTTCCCTGACTGCCATTCCGGGGGTGGGGTCTGGGAGAAGGGCAGGCCGTCGGGTGTTGACCAGGACTATGTGGGGGTTCAGGGTCTAGGGGGGTTGCCGTGGGCAGTGCTGGCACTGTGCTCTCCCTGGGGTTGTTTGGACCCCCTGAGCTTGGCTCTTGGGTGCCATGGTTGGCCCGCTGGCCGGGGTGGCTGCCGGGGGCTGGCGGGCGGTCGGCTGGGGGCGCGTGCTTGGTTGTTGGCGGTGTGTGGGGGTGGTCGGTGGCGTGTCCTCTTCATGGTGGGGGGGTGTCCTGTCGGCGGGGCATGGCCTGGGCCGGGTCTGGGGTATTGGCTCTTCTCTGCTCGAGAATGAATGGGTTTACCTCCTGGGTTTGGGCATGGGCTGCCCCCTGTAGAGGGCGGGTACATGTCTTGGACCTGGGGGGTATAGAGTGCGTATCGGGAATAAGAATGAAATGTATCGTTATTGTATGTCTTTGAGTGAGTGAATGTGAGACTGAGGTTGGGATTGTGTGATTGTGTCTGTGTATGAATGGGTATTTGTTAGGCCGAGACTCGGACTGCCCCCTCTTTAATACAACTGGGGGTGCTTGGCATCGCGCCCCTATCGCGCGGCCCCCTGGTGGGGTGTGCCCTTGCCTGCCGGCGCGCTTCGGGCCCTTGGTGTCGGGGGCTGGGCGCTTGGGCGTGTGTCGGCTCGGCCTGGTGTCTGCCTGGTGAGGCTCGGGTCCTCTGGCCCTGTCGGGCCTTGGCCTGGGTGGTGTGAGTCCTCGGTGCCCGGGCCTCGGTGCCCAGACCTGGATCTACATCGGTGCAGCGGGTTCCGACGGAGGCCTATGAGTTTGTCGCTGTTGGCCCCGGGGGGTCACTGTATGTGGTCGCTGGTGGGGATCTTCCGGTTCTCCCCTGTGGTCCATTCTGGGGGGTGGATGAGTGGTTCGTCCTGTGTGGGTGGCTCTGGGGGCTCCGCGGTCGGGGTCCCTCCTGGGGTCTTGGGCTCTGGTCCCCCCTTTTTCGTCTGCCTCTGGTCTTGGGGGTCGGGTCTCTGCTGCTTCACAGTTACTAATAAATGTTCTATTAGAGAAGCCTTATACACTTATGCATGCTCACAACCACACACAAATAGAAGCAGGGATGCTTATGTAGGCTTTATATGTAGATATGTAGATATGTATATTCATGTATATTCATGTGTATGTATGTATGTATATAGGCGTAGGTATGGGTATATATATTTATGGAAACTTACTGCAAAGCCATGAATATTTTAAGTTCTTTATACATATGTATTTTGTTGCTGTGTTTTGTCATGTTCTTTGCAGGTGAACAGACAGTGGCCGGGTGTTTTGACATGTGCTCTCTTTGTGTATATTTCTTATATTTTGGAGTCTTACTTTGTCTTTTCTTTCTTTCTATCCTATTAAAAAAAAACTACACTAGATAGTCACTAGAATAAATATTTCATAATAATGGTGTGGAGAGGATGGCTGTAAGGGGAGAAGGGAGGCCATCTAGAGAAAAAAAAAAAAGATCACCTACTCCCTTAGAAGTGATTATAAAACTTGTTAAAATCTGGCAGCCTTATCTGACATATGTGGGCACCATGCCAGTGCCTCTATTAGATTCTGCATAGTCATGTCATTTTAACAGGTTGCCACATTTCACTATCTGTCAGTCCAGTCGCTTTTGTACAGTTTTGCTTTCCTGATTTTTATTTTTTCTCCACTTTGGGGTGGGTCGAGTAGGGATATTGACATGTTGTTCTCTTTTTTTAATGTTTTATTAATGTTTTACACATTTAAAAACGCTTAAATAAAGTATTGAAAA